GCTTCTCAGCATACCTCACCCTCTTGGAAAAGAAAGCTTTCAGCACCTACGCCGAGGGATTCCACAAGCCAGAACTTGAACACCAGCTTGGGAAAAACTAGGTTAGAAACCTGACAGTCTAGGCTTGGTTTAAGCAGCTTCCAGCCTTGTCCACAAGTGGAGCTCCCCAAGTCTACTGCAATGCACAGGTGTAGGAATAAATGAGTGCAGGTATTAGTAAATGACTGCAGGTGTGCCAAGGTGCCTCCCATGACCTGGAGTCCAGAGAGAAATTCAGGCAGTAACAGCAGTTTGATTACAGGCAACAAAGCCTGGGTGGTTCATCAGTCAGAAAAAAAAAAACCCAAAAACCTACAACACCAAAAAAACACACTCAACAGCCAAGAAATAGGGCCTTGTTTGCATCCACTGAACCTGAATTAAAACAAAATAGAAAAATCTTACACATGGTTATACACATTCTATCCTCTCTCCTATGAGAAAGGTTACACAGGTAGAGCAAGACAAGGAGGCAGGGGCAAATGACAGATGTCAAAATGGAAAGAAGAAAATCTACTATAAACGAACCTGAAAAATACAAACACTTTGTATTTCATATCTAACACACCTGTGTCCTGCTCTATATTACAACAACAGAGTGCCATGGAAGGCAGTTTAAATTACTGCCTTGCCCACTAATGCTATAATTTGTACAGAGCATTCAGTGCCCACTGAAAGCCTTTATAGTCCAAGTAAGGATTTACAAATCCACACCAAAAAAAAAAAAAAAAAAAAATTACTGCTTAGACCTGAACTGTCTGACCCACATGTGAAAGAAAATGAAATTATCTGCAAATCCAGATTACTTTCCTTAGTAAGGTAAGGGGAAAAAATAACTCAGTGCATTTGCAGCAGTTGCACAAGGTTCTTTTTCATGGCAAGACAGAAAGAAAAGACATAAAAATTCATCTTATAAAATGGAAATCTCATTTATTTGCATCCATGCCAGGAGCTTGCCAGAATAACCACTCTGATTGAGAATTAATTCCAGTGGCAATTTCACATTCACATTTCAGGGATTTTACAGATGAGCCAGCAACAGCTCCCCGAATGAACTGTGCAATGTTTGATAAAGTGTATAAAAGCCTTGGTCACCGCCTACTTCTACATAAAAGTGATTCTCTCCTGATGCTGAAGTCATACCAAAAAAGAGAAAGTGCAAAAATGTCAAAAAAATAACACAAAAGAAATTTAAATTGCTCTTTTCATTCTGCAAAGATGATTCACATTGATCAACAGTTATGCAAGGGAATAGAATTCCCTTCCTCTCCTCACTGGGACATGGCAATATATTGCTATGAGGAGAGAATTCCCTGTTATTTTAACCTGAGAAAAGAGCAAATCAATTCAAAAATGCACTGCTAGCATAGGCTTTGCACTCTTAACTGGCATCAAACAACACAGGTAACAAAAGCTGAGCTGCCTCTGCAGCACTGAAGGTGGGAAGGAACAATGACACTACAACAGCTGTCTGCAACAAAATGCATTGGCATGAAAATTAAAGTGCTTTTCAGAGCAATCTCATGATTTTGCTGAGAGAAAAGTGAAGGAGGGCTATCAGGACACTGCTTTTGTGTCTGAAGTGCTGGGACGCAGAAGGACCAAGCTCACATTTAAGATTTGCACTCAACACAGAACGAGATATTTCATCCCTCAATGCCTCTCTGCCACATCTGATAGATTAGCAGCAAGTCTGCTTTCATCCTGGTTTCTGCTGATCGATTCAGACAGCACACCCTTCAGGACTCTACTACAGTAGCATTCCAGTTTGGCAATACACACAAAATAGCTATTACATTATTCCTTGGGGGTACAATTTCACATTGATTGATTCACTGACAGATTAGATAGGATGAAGCAGGCAAGCCCCATGTTGAGTTTCTCCCCTCCCCCCACAAGGAGAGCTGCACACATCCCAGTTTATTAAAGATTTCTCTTTTGCCTTTAGCTGGTTAATTTTTCACTGATGCTATAATCATACAAATGGTAACTGGGTTGCCAAAACACTCAAATTCATACAGCCCTGCAGTCAATTCCCAGTAAATTGAAGCTTGGCATGGAGTTTAACAAAACACATAGAAAAACTACTATCAAGAAAACTGCCAGCACAGTAAAGTTATTGATATTGGAACAGAGCACAGACCTCAGTGGCACACTGCAAAAGGAAAGCCCAGGTATACAGCTGGCTGTTTATTAAACAAAGACAAGAATTGAGCCTTTTCAATTCAGACTTTGATTTATACACCTATAAATCCTTCAATGTCAAGGGAGCGTAAAAGAAAAAATGGCACAATTTCAACTGTAGCTCTACAAACACTATGGAAAACTGAGACTAAAGAACAAGAGATATGCCCATGGTTTTTATGCAGCTTAAAAGAAATTAAAAACCACCGCCACACAAGCAGCTGGACTATTCTAACCTTCTAACCCTAATCCCCCGTTCACATCACTCTCTTTCTGTGAGGGGCAGAAACCATTTATAGGTAACTCTCACTAGCCTGCTGTTAGCTGCTTCCAATTTTGCAGAATATTCCGCTTTAGTCTCTTGATCTTTTTGTATTACACAGATGCATATACAGTACCTAGAGCCCGGTGCAAGCACAACACTCCCACGCCTTAAGCAGAGAAAGAGCATTCCAATAATTAAGAAATGTGGAAACCTGGGCAGGTTGTACACTGCTCCTTAATCCTCCACAGAGGCTCAGCAGCTACTTATCAAAAGGGTGTTTTTCAGGATGGTTGTCTCCTTCTTCCTTCATTGCATGACCAGAAAGAGCCACAGTGGTGGGGAGGAGCTGGGATGAAGGCAGAACCTGTGATTTAGACAGGGCCCTGTACAATTAACTGCACCACAACCACACAGCTCCAAAATGAGGGCTGAGCAGCACCTGGGAGGAGTTTGCTCAGTCTCAAGACGTTTGATGCTCTAAAGCACAGCATAAACACCAGCAGTGACAGTCAGGAGCCTGTGTGAGGTGTGAGCAAGCCCAGACCCACACTGAGACACGCTGGCAAGAGCAGGTCACTGTCATTCCTGCCCAAACCCGTGTGTATCTGGCATTTGGATTGTTTCGATTCCCTGAGCTGCTTCTTGTGTTTCCTTTACCTTAGTAACCACAGCAGGCATGCACAAACACCTACAACGTGCTGCCAGAGACATCTCATGTTGAGGAGTGGAGGCGTGAGGAGCAGCATTTCTGGCTGAGAAAACACTGTGCAGTTAATGCTTCAAAGGCAGGGAGGTCAGGAGAAAAAAAAACACTAAATGCAGTTTTCCCCCCAAATAAAACAGGAGCTCAAACAGCACAAATCTGTGCAGTTGCAGAGGGAGGTCTGTGCTCCACAGCTCAGAAGGGCAGGGCCCTGCTGACACACTTCAGCCCCAGATCCAGCACTAAAAGACCTTCAGCAGTGGCAATCTCACAATTGCCTCCAGCAGATAACAGCTCCCTTGGACATGAAGTGAGTCTAACCCAATTCAGATTAGCTTAACTGAAATTTTTATGATCTATGAACATAATAAGAATTAGTTGAGTCTCGGTTTTGCTTTGAGCATGGCACAGTGATTTCAAACACTGCACATTACAGACTATAGGAATGGCCTTTCCCTAGAGACATCCTGGATTCCAAACCACAGCCCTGTATCAGACACAGAGCCATTTTTCTCCTGCTGTAGCCAAGAAAACACCTTGAGAAATATCTAATCTAGTAATGGAAACTGAACCACCTGTACTCTACAAGCCTCCCTCCCACTCACCTGATGAATCAGTGTTGCAATAAAGCACATGAAAATTAAATTAAGCACCATGAAAAGATGAGAGCAGTAAATCCGCCTTTCAGTTACTTTCGTGCATCACCATGATTAAATCATTCCTTAGGTTCACATTGTCCTCTTCAAACCAAAATAAGCGGTGGGCAGGACTATAGCCTGCATTTTCTCCCTTGAATCAGAGAACTCCTGTCTGTACCTCCACTAATAGTGCTGCAAAGTAACCCCTGGGGCTGAATCTGACTCCCTTGCTGCCCCCAGGTCCTTTTGGCCCAGCTCTGTCTTCCTTCTTGCCCAGTCAGGGTGGGGATACTCCCAGGGTCACTACCATCCTACTGGGAACTACCCAGCTGAGAACACCCATTCTCCCCTTTGGGGAAGAGAACTTGCCACACACAGAGCCTGGCTTGAGGCTTCTGTCTCTCCCTCCCCACTCACACCTTTTTGGAAACTTGCTGCCAAGGAGGAAAGGCAGCAGCTGGGGACACATCCAGTGCAATGGCTGTTCTCTGGTACAGACGCTGCTGAATACTGTTGCTATCTCCCACATCAGTGCAAAGAGGGGGAAGGAATATTTTGACAACAAAGATACTGCTGCAGCCGGATGAAGTGAGAAGGTTGCTACACAGTTTAAAGAACTTTCCCCCTCACTTATGTTAAACAATTGTTTCACACTACAATGCTTTAGGTTTGCATAGCACTTGAGAAATATGGTTTCTGATCCAACTGATCCAGTCACATGTGCTTATGTGTTTATTTCTCTAGAAATGTTGCCTTGCTTCACTTAGTGCAAACTAAAAGCATTTCCAAACTCAGGTTTCCAAAATCTGGTTTTTAGATAGCAATGCCTATGATCTCCACTATGGTATCTATACAAGCACCTATAGGAAAGGTAATTACTATTGTCAATTAAATGTAGCCAATTAGTAACAGTGCAGTCTCCTCACTAGTTCCTCACCATGCTGGAAGAAGTACATTAAAAATGCGTTCCACCTACCAGATATGCCCACATGTCTAAAGAAATCAGGTCTCCTTGACAGCACGCCATCCCACATGCCACACCGGCCGCTTGCTGGCCCCCCAGCCCTGCCATGCCGAGAAGTCGGGGGACAAGGGGATCCACCCCACAGTTCCCGTCGCCAAACCCCAAAAGGCACACGTAGAAAGGGCGACGCACAACCTGGGCACAAAGCACGGGCACAGGCGGCAGGTTGCCCTCCCCGAGCTGCCAGCACTCAGCCCCTCGCTGGAATCACGCCGCCCGCAAGCCGAATCTGAGGTACCACGCTATACTTAAAAATAGGCACCCTGGCTGCGCGGGGGGCAGGAAGAACAGCTAGCATGGGAGGCGGGGGAATGGATTTATCGGAATAATTTAGGGCGGGGAGGGGGGGACGGAATTTGCTTTTACAGGGCATTTTGGGGAGGATCGCTTCGGAGAGTCGGGGGAGGATGTGGCTTTTAGGGGGAGGTGGGGATGTCCGGCGCGCCTTACCTGGCCGGGGCGGCCGAGCCCCCGCGCGGTGCCGTGCTCAGCACGCCGCGCCCCGCCGCCGCATCGCCGGGACACGCGTGGGACGGGAGCGGGGACACGCGTGGGCCCCGCCGAGCCGCTCCCCCCGCGGCACGGAACGCGCGCAGCGCCGGGCCGCGGCCGGACAGCTGCTCGGGGGAGGCGGCGGCAGGAAATACCAAAAGACTGATCCAACCACGCTAGGGAGAGAGGGAGGGAAGAGAGGGGGGGAACGGAGAAGAAAAATAGAGGGAGGAAAAATAAAAACGGAGGAGAGGGGAGAAAAAAAAAGGGGGGGAAGGAAACGTGCAAAATCCGGGCGGGATCGGCGCGGAGCGAGCGCGGTGCTCGGCTCCCTGCGGGAGCGCCCCTGGGGAGCGCCTCGGCCTCTCCCGGCCGGAGCTCGGCTCCCTTCGGTTTGTTATTCCCCCCCACACTCCCCACAGTTTGTGTCTTTCTTCTCCTCGACACAGGGAGAGCCTGAAGCCAAGGCAGAATAAATAAAGCAAAACCACCAACCCCTTAAACAAAAATCAGGCGGACCCCCCGGCCAGCAAGCAGCAAGCCATCCCTGGGGTTCACTGACGCCACGCGCAAGAGAATGGAGAAAAGCCAACCTGGAGGAATCACCACGCTGAAGCCGTGCCGCTGCAGGAGCACTTTGTCTCAGCATCCAGCCACACGCCTCCGCCGACGCCGTGGCTCAAAGGCGCCCATGCAATATGCAGCCCTGACACGCAGCTGGGCACGCTCCCAGCTTCTCCTGTGCATCCAGAGCGAAAAAATCAATCCCATGGCAAGCACGGACCCCTAAGCTCCTCCAGACGAGGAGGACAGTCCAATCATCGCATCCCTGGCCTCAGCCTGCCTGCCCTTCAGGGGAGGCATGACTTTACAGGCAGCAGAGTATCTGATAAAGCATCACGGCAGAGAATGACCCAGCCGCACGCATTTAATTGATGCTTCCTCTCTCCTCCTCTCTCCGGGTCGCACGGTTCAGCGCTGGACCAAGAACAGTGAGCCAAACAGGACTTCACATCTCCTTCATCTCCATGGGAAGAGGGGTAGCAAAGTTAAAAGGCACCCAAACTTTCTGAAACCAAAAATCACATGAGGGGATAAATGTGACCAACACGAGTCTGACTTGCATCACTAAAGTCTGAATCACCCATGTACAGCTGAAGCTTTGGTCCAAAATACAGCATGAAGCTCAGACTCATACTTCTGAAACCAGAAGCATTAAATCATGTGCCTGAAATGCTTTACTACTCCACCCTTCACAGAAAAAGACAGATCCTTTTTCTCTTTAGTGTGTGCAGGGGCTGAACCAAAACAAAGATCACTAGCTCTAATGTTCCTCATACTACACAGGAAGCCAGCTTCCAGCACTAAAAAGCAGCAACTCATTACTTGAAAAGGTCTCCCAGATTTTATTGAAAAATCCTGAATTCATCCCAAGATGCAAGCTCAACTTGGAACAGGGCACAATCTCTCTTACTGCCTCCAGCCCATGCAAGGCTTCACCCTGCATCACTGATATCCACGTACCTAATGCCAGTAGAGGTAGCTGATTTTCTCCTAGTGAGCTCAATGGCACATAGAGAGAATATACTATACCTAGCTAGTAGAGCATGGTGCTGGAGGGAAAAATCACCATCCATTTTTGCTCTTTCCTGGAAAGAAGCACTATAAACACAGCATAAACCATGAACAGCCCACACAGCCTATGCTGTCCATACTATTCAAGTCACCACAGCCCTTCTCTACCCATTAAATAAGCCCCTGAATCACGTGCATAGGGCAGGTGATTCTAAGTTCACCTGTATTTGTTGTGATTTATGCCATCATCTGCAAGGTGTGGAGAGTTATCATGATTCCAGCTGCCTTCAAGTTGGTTGGGATTTTCACTTAATCCTCGCCAAAATTTTACCCTGAGGGCAAGCCTGTACTGTGCAATGGGGCAGGGCACTGCATGGAGATGCCAAGGCCTCTCATCACCCTGGCTCAGGGCACTGCCAGGTTGAGACATCCTCTTAGAGCATGAAGCAGCTCACCCTGCCTCATGCTGCCTGCTCATTCTCTGTCGCCTCCTGTCCTTTCTGGGGTTCTTTCTGTGTCCTCCACTCCCTTCCCCTTTCTGCTTTTCGAGCTGGAACACTCCAATGCAGCCAGGTATTTTGCCAGTATCTTGTCTGGTGCAAATGGCTTTTTAACTAAAGCACAGAATTGACGTTGGTCCAGCTGTCTGTACCCAGACTGGCTTTGTCCCACCATGGCTTCTCAGCTACTTTGGTACAGACATCTACAGTTTTTAGCACCCTGCATGAATCTCAGTGGGACTTAAGAGTTCACTTCCCAGGGGTTTCTGTTTTGAACATTTTAAAAAACCCTTCTAAAAAGTGTTTTGGCTAAAGATTTTTAGTAAATTATTTTCTTATCAGGCAATCATTCCATGATTACTAGGGTTTAATCTGTTCACTGCCACATTGCTACACAACATTAATTTAATAAAAACCTGAACATCTAACATTATTTCTGTCAAAACAGTTAGAGACCCTGATAAAAAATAATACATTAGGTTTTCCTATGTGCTCTAGGACAGTGCATGAGGCATTAGTGATACACAGAACAGAAGACTTGGCTGTTAAATTTTCAAAATCTTGTCCCTAAACTGGAGAAAATGAAAGAAAATTTACCTCAGACTGATGTTTTGCATCATGCAGCCATGGCATTTCTTATGGTCCAGGGAGCCCTGAACTTGAATTTGCTGTGTCTTCAGACCTTGCACCAGATGGGTCCTCAGACTCTGGGTTAGAGCAATCCATCACTTCCCTGTCTGTCAAAGCTGGGACCTAGATCTGTTCTCCCCCTTAATAAGCCCCCCACAGGAATATGGGGAGTAAGCAAAGCAAACACTAATATTTTTTAAGACCATTTTCCACAGCCCTCTAGTGTCTATTATGTTAACAGCCACTCAGAAAACATCTGCTGGTTATGTGCTGTCTGCAGTCCATGCAAATACACCTGAGATGTGCATAAAACCCTAAGTGGGTAGATGTGGAGTACAGAGCTCATAACCCAGCCATGCATTTGGAGTGAGCTTTGCTGTGTCCTAATGCCACCTGAGCTCCCTAGCTTAAAGCTAATTCATCAGTGTCCCCCAGATATCACATATCCCTTTGACAGAAGCTCTTTGATGGATGTACTTTGCAGTTGGGGCTGAGGACCCTTCTGGTTTCAGCTCTCCTTTGCAAGAAATCAGCATTCCTTTCAGGGGGTCTGCAGCTGTGGTATTTCCTTTGGGCATTTGCCAGTGTTTGCAACACTAAACTTTCCTACCACAGAAACAAAATTCTGTCCTAAAAGGGCTTATAAACTGGTGTGAACTCTATCATAAACAGGGTAACAAAAGCAGCAAAACACAATAAGTTTTAATTCCAGTGCTGGGAGAGTCTAGTCAGGCTGTTTCAGCTGTTGTTACTCCAGTCCTTACAATCCAGTAATGCAACTCGAAGACCTTAACAGTCAGAACACTGAAAAGCAGTATCTCCCCGTCTTTTTATGGCAACCCTTGGAGATGTTCAACAACACAGTATCAGTATTGTCTAGAAATTGTGGTAAATTGTCCAGAAATGTGGTAAAGGCAGGTGAGCAGCAGCAACAGACAGATCACTTGGTTCTCTCAGGTCAGCAGCCTGCTTTGGAAACCACTGCAGTGCTTTGCCCTGCATCTTCCTTTTCATGTCCTCCACCTTTCACAACTGCTGAACGAGCTCCTCTTCCCTCAGCAGAGAACAGACCCTACCTATGTGAACTGTAAATGCATACTCATTTTGCAGAGTGCAGCAGACTTGCATTTTATGCTTTCCTACATCTCACAACATAGTTACAATAGTTCTACAAACTCCTGTTCATGACTAGATAGTTAAATGCCATAAAAGCCATAAGATATATTTATGGGTCTCTATTAAAATGAAAATGTAGAGGGTAATATTTCTATCATTATAATTACTACAATGGCTCTAGAGCCATAACCACATTAATCAGACATCACAGGAATGGTTGTTAGCATTGTAAGATACTTGCCCTTAAGCTCATGGCACATAGTGAGACAAGAAGCAGGAAGCTTAAAACAAATGAGTGAAAAAAATGTTATTAAACATGGGTCTTTATCATTAGGCATAAGCTTCAACACAGCTGTATACAATTAATGATAAGAAAAAGATCACTCTTACCCACAAGTGTTTTCCAGTGCAATGTTCCTTAGCAAAAATATGCAATGCCATAGCTGGATAGAGCAGGAGTTTCTTGTTAACAAATAGTAGTCTGCCTGTTTAGAACTCTGGAAAAACATGTTTGTTCATTTTACATTTTGAAAAACAGAGCTGCTGCTAAACCAGGATCCTAATTGCTAGTTTGCTGGAACAGGTCTCTGGAGAAATTAGTTAGAAAAACCACAACCATCTCCCCAGGAGCCCCTGGAGACTGGAGTCCTCTTGTGGCAAAAGGTAGAAGAAAATTTCCAGTGACTGATTACTGCTGAAAGCTGGGACCCAGTAAGAGGTACAGGGAGTATCTACTTTGTAAAGAGCTTCATGTCACATTGCAGAGCATAAAAGCAGCAGCATGAAGACTTCACAGCTGGCAGTGGGCAAGCATCAAAAGGAGCAGGATGCCACAGTGTTTTGATACTGCAGACTCTCCTTCTGTTTGCTGTGGTAGCTCCTTTCTGTTAGTGTGTTCCCTGCTGAGATGATGTTCCTGACTGGGGTTTTTTGTTTGGGTTTTTTTTTTTCTGTCTCTGTTAGCAGAGGTAATTTTTCCTGAGTGGTTTGCTAGCAAGAGAAAAATTCTTGCTGGCTAATATATTCACTGTACAGTATCAGAGGTTAGCTCCCATCCTTCTTGTCAGTCTGGCTGAGCTGGGCAGATAACACAATTCTAAGACCTTGTTTAGATCTTGCTGCTTGATATTCCATCTCCTTTTCTGCTGTGTTGTTTCCTATCTGCAGTAGACCCTATGGACTGCCTTGAGCTCATCTTAGGAGACATTTCTATGAATGGTGGAGGTTGGCCATGTTGAACATGGTTGGCCATGTTGGAACAGCACTGTAGAAGATGGAGTAAGTAAATAACCTGAAAGTCTTTCTTTACTCACACAGTGTGGTCAGAAAGCTTTCACATGTCCACACTTGGGCTTGGGTTACAGCAAAGAGGTTATCTGGCTGGCAATTTCACCCCGTGGGCCAAGCCTCCAAAGCACTCATAAGCCTCTCACAGTTTTGGTGGTCCTGCAAACAAGATTTCGAGCTTTCAGGAAAAAGTCTCCAGCAAGAGCTTGTAGCACAGGCATCATAGGCAGCTTTAAAGACCTGCCAGTAACAAGATAAAAGATTCCAGATGCTTCTACCTGGTTTATTTTCTCTATCCATCAGATGCTTGGATGGTGCCCTGCTTTCTATAACCTTAACTTCCAGGGTGCTTTTCAGGAATCTAAATACAATGCCATTGCAACTGCTTCACTCCAGAGAAGTTGTTTGTGATCTTGTGTATCTTATATTGAACAAGAGTTCTAGGGCAGACCTTACTTTCCCTACCCTGCACCCTCACCAATGTAAACTTCTGTCTCAAGGGGACTCAGTCAGGAACCCCAAACTAAGGTGTGTGTTGGGAAGTAAAGCTGTTCCACATACATGGGTCTTGCTACAGCTGGAGTTAAATTATATTTAGTTGTGACTACCCAAGTTCCTGATTTCTTACTGTTCAGCTGAAGCCAGTTCACATCAAGCACCATGGAGCTATTTTATGTTCCTCCAGATGTCTAAGCCAGCAAATTAAGCTGAATGCTGTCATTATGGCTTTGGTGTGAAAAATAGATCAAAGAGTTTGGCTGCTGTTGCTTTGCTCCCAGAGGCCTGCCCAGTAACTAGCTGCAAGTATCATCTCAGAGAACAGCCCAACATGCTGAGCTGATCTGGTGAACAAAGTTCCTTCTGCAGCAGTCTGGAAAGCAGCCGAGATATCCAGGATCTGACAAACTGTCCAGTGAAATCTGGGCTAGATTTCAAAACCCTTGATAAGACATGACATAAAACCAATTTGGTATTCAAAAACATTCCAGTAGCCCTTGTTGTTGGTCAGGTTTCAAGCTAATTACAGAGCAAGCTAGCTGTTACAAAGTCTCAAAGGTCAAAACAAAAGCATTCCTATAGATGTAAACATATCCATAAGTAGAATCATATCATGGTTTGGGTTGGGAGGGATCTTTAAATGTCAGCCAGTCCAACCTCCCTGCAATGAGCTGGGACATCCTCAGCTACATCAGGTTGATCGGAGTCCCATCCAATCTGACCATATAAATATGAGTGCAAATGAAGTTCTAGCATAGCTGCAGTGTGAGTCCCTCCCCTGGGCAATAGTCTTCTCTGCAGCATGGGTCACTCTTCCATGGGGCTTCTTCACTATGGAGAGGCTGCTCCAGTGTGGGCTCCTCTCTCTGTGAGCCTCCCACAGGGTCACAGCCCCCTCTCAGGCATCCACCTGCTCTGGTGTGCAGTGGGATCTCTGCATCCCTGTGGATCTCCATGGCCTGCGGGGCACAGCTGCCTCACCATGGGCTGCAGCACAGGCTGCAGGGGAATCTCAGCTCCAGCACCTGAACACCTCCTCCCCCTCCTTCTGCACTGACCCTGGTGCCTGCAGGGCTGTTCCTCTCCATGTTCTCATTCTGCTCTGGCCACAATTACAACTGTGCAATCACTTTTTTTTCCTAGAAAAGTGATTTTTTTCAGAAATATTCTATCACAGAGGCATTACCACCACTTCCAGTTGGCCCAGCTTTGGCCAGTGACACTTCCATCTATGGATTGCCAGGGACTGCCTCTGCTGGACAGGGAGGAAGCTGCCAGCAGCTTCTCCCAGAAGCCACCTCTGTATCTCCCATGTACCAAAAGCTTGGCCATGCAAACCCAATCCAACACATGTGTTTCTATAAAAGACTTTCCTATGAGACTCATAGACATACAGATCTTCATATGGGCCAGTACCAATCTCTCCACACATACTTAGTTATGTATTGACTGATCAATGCTCTGTCCATAGATAGACCTGGATATAAACAGACAGAAGTCACAGCTGAATTCCTATTTGTTTACTACTTCGTTCTCTCCAGAGAGAGGCATTTTGAATTACAAATGATTGAATCTAGCTCCTGACACTCAATGTATACTATTGATCTGGAGGTCAGGCCACAGAGTCACAAATCAGCTCTATTAGTAGCTTTGTAATAACACTGTATCATATTCCCGAGCTTGCAGCTGCTTCCCAGGATGTGTTTGTTCTCATTCTTGACCCTTTTTATTTTTCCTGACTCTTGACTCACTCTTGTAGCCAGCTCATCTCTAATAAATTATGGAACTTCTCACAGCTTCTTTCCTGCTCATCTCCAAAATTCATCTTCTGGGCTCCATTTGTGATCAAACAAAAACTCTCCTTGGCTGTTACAATTCATTTTAAGGACTCTGTTATTGCTGATGCCTCCGGTGAACTCCCACAGGGGCTTAAAGGAGATAAGGAAGAAAAATTACAATAATATTTTTTGCTGCCTCTGAAGGGCATCTGGCTTGTCTGTACAGAGGGATGCCAGTATTTTTGTCATC